TGTGCTTTGGTACCTTTAATATGAAACAAAGTCTCAGATTTCAAATTCTGTCCATTGTATTGTGGTATTTAAACAACAAATGCCATTTTGGCTCTGTTTAATGTGGAGTGGCAGATCGCTGTAGCGCCTCAGTTCAACAGACGCAGCTGCGCGAGGCGCACGTTAACTGATCATCTCTTCCACATTCATACCAGTTTCAGCACAAAATAAGCATGACTAAACATCCAAAAAGAGTACAACTTTACAATCCGTATCCTGTCTCATGTAATCTCTCAATTAGTGTTTCAGCCGCGCAAAGACGTCAATATAACAGCTTGTAAACAATGTCACGTAAGGTCATATTTACCTCAGAAAAACGTATTCGGTGACCATAAACTCATTAGTCAAACAGAAAAATAAACTGTAGAGAGGGGTATTTTGCTAAATATATGCACCATATAACATTCATTATACATTTTACTGTTCTTCTGATTAATTTCTGTTTGAATAAATCCATCAAGTTTTTGTCAGCCACCATTATGTTTATATTAAAAAAAACGAATTGAAGTAGAAATATTATGTAATTGTAACGTTGTTATTTTAAAAACTTCATTAAGTGCAATTTTAACAAATCAGTCAAATTTAACGTTCAATATTATAGTAATGTAGTACCAACTGACTCTCATGTATATTTTACAGCATTAGCATTACTGTACCTGATATATATCCAAAATAATGGATATTGAATCGAAAATCGAATCGAATCGCAATCTTGTGAATGAGAATCGAATTTAATCGTGAAATTTGTGTCAAAACCCAGCCCTAATAATAAACATAATAAAATATTTAAATCAGTATTTAATCATATTTAATAATGTTTCCCTTTATAAAAATCAAATTTGCACATTTTTCCCTCTTTTGTTCAGGGTGGAATACATTTATTCCATTGAATTCCAAAATGGCCAGTGCCCCAATAAAGCTTATTTATCCATCCATCCATGTCAGTGTTGTTATTGTTAACTAAAAATAAAACTGGCTTTTCATTAATTGAAATAAAGCTGAAATAAAATGAAATATAAACATTGGATTACATTTTAAATGAATATTAGAAATGTAAATGAAAATGTTGCCTTGGCAACTAACTGATATAAAATGCATAAATTTTTTTTAAAAAAAGTCGAAAGTAAAAAAAAGTACTAAAAATTAATAAAAATAAAGCTACTGTATATATATATAGAAAAAAAGACAATCATATTTACTAAAACTGAAACTACAATTACAATGAAAACTAAAAATATAAAAGCTAATTCAAAATACTAATTACTTTAATATATACTAATATAACATTGATTTGTGTTATTTGTTTTGATTTTAAACCTCACCCAAAGAAAGAAAGCAGTATAGGCAATTATGACAAGTTTAATGCTGAGGCAGTATGTAACATAGGTAGCCCATATCATGACCCACATTAAAGCAGAGCCTTTACTCACTGAGTGTCTCAGGGTAGAGCTTCAGCCCTGTCCTGACTGCAACCACATATGACAGAAAACAAAACTGATGCAGAATCAGCACAAAGATCTCTGTGAGTGCAGGCCAGCATGGTCACAATGCCATCCCCCAAAAAACTGGTTACGAAAACGAGAACGCAAAAGAGACAGACACTCTTGTGCACGGACAAGATCCAGGAAAGACAAACTGTGCTAAGAGGCCACTTGAGAGAGAGAGAGAGAGAGAGAGAGAGATATATGAATTATTATATGCAAATACTGTATATATTCATATATATATTAGGTCCCCTTGCTTGGAACTGATTAGTATTCGCTGTAGGTATTCCATAGGATTTTCTTTAAATACATGTTTAAAACATTTTCATTCTATGTACAGAGAAATACTGTATATATTTCTACAAGGAAGTAGCGGTGATTTGTCGAGGAGTTTCGAGTGCTAACGGGCCAGCACTAAACGTGAAGCTGCAGCATTTCAGCATATGAAGGACGAGTTTGTTTGCATCTTGTTTAGCTACAAAAGCAGAGATACAAAGCAGACAGCTCTTCTATAAAGGCTCAGTTTCCGATCCTGCTTTCACGACTGTCCACGGGAGAAGAGCTTTCCCCATCTGGAACAATATTAAGCATGGGAACTTAAAAATGGTCAGCAAATTACATACACGACAACATTTGTGGCTAACCGAGGAGACCGGAGAAATGAACTAAGAGGTACTTCCCACAGCTGTCTGTGAAAAGATGTCTTTTGAAATAGTCTTTCAAAAAGTAAGTGTAAAAGTGTAAGGAGGCTGATGATGGTGCAATAGTCCAATCACATCCACTTGATCGCTCTGAAGATCATTCTACAGTGGTAGAGTTTATCGCCAGAGTCAGTGTGCTCACTGTCAATACTCCATTTCACACTCATAAAGGTTGTTCCCCCGCAGTCTGGGGTCGGGGAGAGGATGATGGAGGAATGGGCTGGAGGAGGATGAGGTGCGTGTCCTCAGGATTTGTTGTCGTCGTACATGTCCAGCGACGCCTGGATGTCTGGAAGCTCCATCTCACAGACGACGCTGCGCGGAGACACAGAATTACGGTTGAAGAAATTACCACCTGAAAACAGACAAAACAACACAAATGATGGAGTTAGATTAAGACATTTGTAATAATACTCAGTTTTTGTGTACAACAGGGGGCTAGAAATTAGATAGATGAAAGAAGGAATGATTCTTCTGAATGTTAATAAAATATTCAAGATGTGGCTCCTGCTGACTGAAAAGATTTCTTTACCTCCTCCATAAAGATTGTGCTCAAATCTGACATTTCATCTCAGCACAAAATCAATGTCGGTCGGTTACGTGTAATCAACACTTATTATGTCCTTGACACCAGACCAATTAATTACCATCAAGCTTCTCAGTGGAAATCAGGTTTTTTTATGGAAGTGTTTGGGTGTTTTGTGAATATACAGCTCCCTGATTTAACCCTCATGTTGTCATTTTTACCCGAAAATGCTAATTCATTGCATTAGACTACAATGTACTGACTTTGCTCACACAGGGCATAACACCTTCCCAAAAACGTTTGATTATTTCTGTACTTTTTACCCCCACCTTGTTACACTTTTGGTATTCCTGGTCAAAAATAACTTTCTCCAAAATAAGCTATAAATAATGTTTGGTTTTTGTACTCAAAAACTAAGGTGCGTAAGCACAGATCAGTGAGGCCTATGGCCAATCAGCTCCAAAAAGAAACATAAAACCTGTGCTAAGTGAAAGAAAACAAGTTGACAAAAAGACTGAATCCAAGATTTGGTGATAATACAAATACTGAACTGTGTGAATTGCAGACTATTAAGACAAATATGTGGATGTGCTGCTCCATATAATCAGCTATTATTAAACTATTTCATAATACACATATGCATGTAAAAAAAAAATTATGTAACCCACAGGTGGGTAAATAAATATAATTAATATAAAATAAATATGCTGGATATTTTTTTCTCATTTTATTGTAATATGTGATTATAGACTCAAAGACAGCAGCCTAATAATGTCTATTACATAATAATACAGCAAAATATATTTCACTCCATCAAGTAATCCTTCATTAGCTTGTTCATGTGGGCTTTGTTTAGGTTTCCAGTTAACTCGAATAGACCTGACCTTAAGTCACACAATCCCTATCCCGCTGCATTAAATGTTAGGCTGATACAAAACACAATCTGTCCTCATAGTTGTATTACAGTATTTTTAGTGCTCTTGGCTTGACTTACTGTAAGGCACTATGAATTCAACTGTAGCGCTACAATATGCCACAGTAAATCAATATTGTATGTCCAGTAGATATGTGACATGATGGATGTTGCTGGTCTGAGAGTGAAAATTAGATTCAGGAGTCTCACCATGGTAAACAGAGAGACAGAAGCATCAAAACATTATCAAGGAATACAATTAGTACTAGTAACTACTAACTTACTAAAAAGCACAACAACGAGTTTTGCACAAAGCAATTTTAATACACACACAAATGTCTTTAAAGACTTTGATTCACTTAACAATCAAAGACAAAGCAAAGGATTTGAAAAAAATTATACAAATGTAAAAGACATTTAACGTATGCAAAACACTATTCATCTAAAATGAAACTAAAAAGGGCTTTTTAAATACAGCAATTGAGTAAAACAAGAAGTTCATTAGCTATATCATCCAGTGAAAAGCTCTGAATGTGCAAGAGGTGAAAGTTAAAGGGGTCATATGATGCGATTTAAATTTTTCCTTTCTCTTT